AAAAAGTCACCCTGATTAGCCAATGGGAAGAGTAGCGATCGTACGCCAGTTACCATGTTTCTCTTTTATTAGATAGGATAGGATGTGGGCTTTGAGATAAATATCTTGAAGTTTGGTGTGCTCACTTCTTGGTTCCTGACTGCATTATGGGAAGGTGTGTGTGTGGGTGTGTGTGTGTTTTTCTGTGCGTGTGTGTGAAACATGGTGGGTTTTTTTTTTATGAACTTTTAGAGAATATTGCTTTTTATTTTTTAAACATTCATTTAATGTAGAAGTACTAGATTTCTAAATTGCAGTGAGTTATCATGTGACTAGACAAAGGTTTGTTTTTCAGTTTTGAACTCAGAAATTCTTCCCTTGACATTGTTGGATAGATTCTGTTAGGTTGTAAATGTGGATTAAAAAAAATCATTAATAATTGATATGGATGGACATGACTAAACGATTGTGAAGAACAATATTAATAATTCTAGGTAGAGCATTCTAATTATAATTTTGTGAACAATTGAAAAATTTACAGGTTCTAAGTGTAAAAAATGTGATTAGAAATGGAAACAGATTTTCTAAAAGATTATCATCTTAAAAATCATGTAAAAATTATAGTAGTTAATATGTAGGACTTGCAAGTAAGGGTAAAATTCTATTTTAATGACTCAGTAGAAATTGACATTAAGTTTGAATTGTGTTCAAAATGGAAACTTATTGCTACAGTTTACTCAACTCCATCTTAGAGCAATCTCTTCATTCCATAAAATCTGTGCCCCATTAAGATCTCAGTATATGTTGTTCAGAGCAGAAGGCTTAAACTCATTTTCATTTAATGTCTTGCCTTCTCAATCAGCCCTCAGGAGTAGGGGGAGGTGGAGAAGCTCTCAGAGGCGTCGGGGCTGGCAGCTGCCACTTGCACCTGCAGATGGTGCCGAGAAATTGGGATTGGCGCTGGGCACTGGCAGCAGGTGCAAGCGGTAGTTCTGGTGCTGGCAGTGGGTGCAAGCATCGGCTCTGGCGCCAGCAGCTGGTGCGAGTGGGGCTGGCACTGGCAGCAGATGTGAGCGCCCGGCAGGACCGTGGAACATGGGAGCAAAGAATTTTCAGTAACCACCAGAGGTTTACCCCTATGACAGTGACTAGAGCCCCACCTTGGTCTGGCACCCCCACTCACCTAATGTACCTGGTTTAGGCCGGTTTAGGCCAGATCAGGCCGGCAGGGGATTGGGCCTAATTCATGCACCTTGAAAGGAACTGCGGGCCACGAAATTGTGATGGGCACAGGGGCGGGTCTTGGCCCATCCTCCGCGCCCCTGCCCGGCCCCTCCCATGTGGCCTGGTCTCCCCCTAACTGCTCCCTTGCCAGCCCAATTGACACCTAACTACTCCCATGCCAGCATGATGGCTCCCAACTGCCCTCCCCTGCCAACCTGATGGCTCCCAACTACCCTCCCTGCCGGCCTGATCGCCCCCAACTGCCCACCCCTGCCTTAACCTGCCTCCTCTGTGCAAAGTGACGGAGATGCTGGGACCGGTCTCTTCCGTGCCACGCGGAGCCGCGGGATCCCCAGGCCTCACCGCGCAGAGTGGCCGCTGGGCCCCAACTCTGCTGTGTGTGCAGCCATCTTGTGATGGCCATCTTGTGACGATGTGAGGGCATGACTACCGTCTAGGCTATTTATTATTAGTATAGATATTTGTATGAAATATTTTATTATAAAATAGTTGAATCATATGTAATCATTTAACAAATACTTATTGAAGCTCTGCTATATGCCAGGCACTTTTCTAAGTGCTGGAGTACATCAACTTAAACCAAAACCTATCCTCGTGAGGCTTACATCCTAGTGGGAGAGGCAGACTGTAAAGAAACAAATAAATATACAGTATGTCAGGCAGTAGAAGTGTTATGGAGAAGAATGAGGAAGCATCTATACTAATAAAAGGGTAATATGCTAATTAGACCAGACATCTTCCGGACATCATTCCGGATGTCCTTTCTGATGAAGCTGGGGCCCAGGCGAAGCCAGCTGGGGTCCCAGGTGCCTGCAGGCGGCCAGGGTGAAGCCAGCTGGGATCCCAGGTGCCTGCTGGTGGCAGGAGGAGGGAAGACCAGGTCCCGGGTGCCAGAGGGAAGCTGGTGCTGGCAGCCAGGGGAAAGAAGGCCTACTCTTGCACGAATTTTTGTGTATCGGGCCTCTAATAAGGAATAAATAGTGATTCTTGGGAGGGGGTTGCTCTTGGGACATGGTGCTAACAGGTACTTATTAACATAGTAGAGGCCTGGTGTTATATGCTAAATGAGACTTGATCTGACAATGGTATCTGATAAATTTGAATAGGATATTTCTTTTAAAAAAATACATTTTATTGATTTTTTAGAGAGAGGAAGGGAGAGGGATAGAGAGTTAGAAACATCGATGAGAGAGAAACATTGATTAGCTGCCTCCTGCGCACCCCCTACTGGGGATATGCCCACAACCAAGGTACATGCCCTTGACCGGAATCGAACCTGAGACCCTTCAGTCCGCAGGCCGACGCTCTATCCACTGAGCCAAACCGATGAAGGCTGAATAGGATATTTCTTCAGACAACAGAAGGTTGATGTAGAAAACCTCCAATGTTTTGGAAAATGCAGTGTCAATGGCAAATTATAACTACAGAAATATGTCTTGTAGAGCATATGTGGTGATAAAAGGAAGTGTGTCTTCAAAAACAAGGCTATTAACTTTAAAATTACATTTGTCATTAATTAATATAGTCAAAGTAACACATGTGGTTATCCCGATAGCAGCAGATAACATACTGTGCTGTGTGTGACAAGGATTAAATACGATATCTGTATTTGGCTAATTTTCTTTCTTCCCCTTTCCTCCATTTTCTTTAATGGAAGAATTAGAGACTATTTCAAAGCATAAATACAAATGTATTAATACTTAAAGATATATATTTTAACATGCATATTTCTGTTTACCATTACAGTTTTAGCTTTTAGTTTAAACATCTATTTTTTATAATAGTGACATTATTTGTATAAATACTTTTTTTCTTAAAGATTAACATTCTTTTTGATATAAAACCACTTTTTTTGTTTATTTCCAGATGACAAGCAGAATGTACATAAGGAAGATAGATGTTTGAGTCTGAGTATGCCTGTTATTACAGAGGAGGATGAGGAGAACGGAAGTCAGAGTGAAACAGGTACAGATGAGGTTTTGTCAAACTGGGAAAGAAAGCTATGCTTAGAGCATTAAGGTTTAGAACCCTTAAAGATCATGAGGGTTCTGTGTTCTTGTTTTTATCTTTGGCATATTGGAGAATTTTAGTATTAATCATACTGTTAATGTAGACACTTAAGAGTAGTAATTGGTAATCCATCAATGATGATGAATGTAATATGTATTAGGATAATGCCTAATGACTTCCTTTAAAAATTTTTGTTTTGAATTGATCTCAGAGAGGAATGGAGAGTGAAAGAGATAGAAACATCAATGATGAGAGAGAATCATTGATGAGACTCCTGCATGCCCCACACTTGGGATTGAGCCTGCAACCTGAGCATATGCCCTGACTGGGAATTGAACTATGACGTCCTGGTTCATAGGTCGACAGTCAACCACTGATCCACACCAGCTGGGCAATGACTTTTTTCATTTGGGCTATGTATTTATTCAGCAAGCATTTATTGGGTGCCTCTTGTTTTTCAAGTACTTAGCTAAATTCTCATAGTATATAAAGATATATACTATAATAATTTAAGAACCAGATTATTTTAATCACTGTGATTGTAGATCTGAGTGGATCTGAGTACAGTGACTGGCCCATAGTGGACCTAAATAAATATTTGTTGAATGATTGATATCAGTCTGTGTCCCCAAGGACCTTAAAGTTTAGTGTGGGAGGAAAATAAGCCAGTACATGATGGTAAAGAGAAGCAGGGTGCTATAGAAGTATGTGGAAGACAGAATAGACAATTAAAAGGGATTATTTGTTCCCTCAGAAATCTGAGCATTTCTGTGGTTTGCTTATGTCAGCATATAACAGTCCTTTACAATCTTGTGGTGAATTTCAGATCTTAGCTTCTCTCCAGTCTTGCTTGCAGGCTTTTACTGTGTGTAAACTATTAATCACATACATACCTTAGGCCAGCTGACAAGTCCTGTTTGAAAATCTATCAGCTTGTTTTTATTAAAAATTTGGTTTTCATTAATCATCTACACTAATTAAAGGGAAATATGCAAATTAACCATCACTCTGCCACTCCGCTACACCCAGCAGCCAGTCAGAGCAACTATGCAAATTAACCCAACAAAGATGGCAGTTAATTTGCATATGCAGGCACAGAGTGAAGACTGAAGACGACTGAAGATGGTGGCGGCCACAGAGCTGGAGCGAGCAAGAGGCTTGGGTTGCTCCTAGCGACGGAGGAAGCCAAGCTTCCCGCCGGCCTGTACTCCGCTCAAGGAGTGGCTGGGGGCAGGCCTCCAGCCCACCCTGGGCTCTGCTCAAGGAGGGTCTGGGGTCCTGGGTTACTGGGGGCAACCCAGGCTTCCTGTCCGCCCTGGGCTCCTCTGGAGGAGCTAGGAAATAAAATAAAAGGAGGGGCTGGGAGCAGCTGCAGCAGAGAAGCCAAGCCTCGCTGCTGTGGCCGGACCAAAGGCCGGGGTCCCGGGTGCCGGAGGAAAACCAGTGCCGACAGCCAGGGGAAGGAAGGCCTATTGCACGAATCTTCATGTAGAGGGCCACTAGTTATTACATATGCACATAATTTATTTTACAATTCAAGTAATTTTATAGTACTCATAAGAAACCAGTCTTCTAACTCTGACTTATTAATCCCCAGAGACAACACTTTTAACCCCATTACTAATTACCTTTGTGTCTCTAAATAACATGTTTACTTTTGTTTATTTTTTTTAATATATTTTATTGATTTCTTACAGAGAGGAAGGGAGAGAGATAGAGAGTTAGAAACATCGATGAGAGAGAAACATCGATCAGCTGCCTCCTGCACACCTCCCACTGGGGATGTGCCCGCAACCCAGGTACATGCCCTTGACTGGAATCGAACCTGGGACCTTTCAGTCCGCAGGCCGATGCTCTATCCACTGAGCCAAACCGGTTTTGGCTAAATAACATGTTTATATTGCCATTTCTTCATATTTCAATTCTGTGGATTATCTATTGGCTTCCCACTGAGGAAGGCGAGGATTTAATTCTCTCATATTCTTCGCCTCTCACCCCAAAAACACCCCAGCCCCACCTGCCCAATATAATTATTATTTTAGTTGTATTGGTATTCAGCATTTACAAAACATTATTGGCAGGAGGGCCATGGAATAATAGACTATGATTTTTTCTTAATCTATGCGTTTATTTTTTTCCCTAGAGTGTTAATAACTTTTTTGCCTGATTTTTTTTTTCATGTGCTTATCACTGATTTACCCCCAGACCACTCTTCAGTTGTATAAATCTCCTCTTGATGCTCAAACACGTTAGGCATTTTATCAGTTTTATCTTTTTTTTTTTAAGATTTTTAAATTTGGTTTTTAGAGAGAGGGGGAGAGAAAAACATTGATGTGACAGCAAAACCTCCATAAACTGCCTCCTGCACACCCCCTACTGGGGATTGAGCCCACAACCAGGGTATGTGCCCTGGCCAGGAATTGAGCCATCAACCTTTCCATTCATGGGACAAATGCCCAATCAACTGAGCCACACAGGCCAGGGCAATTTCATCTTTTTGACGAAGTCTCTTCCAGACCTGTGACTTGCTCTACTCCGGATAGTTTGTTCATGAGGCCTGCTGCACTCTATCCTGACTGCTGTTCTCTTCGAGTAGTCTCTTTCCTTTCTCTTAGTTTTTCCTTTGTCCTTTCTTATTCCTTTTCCTGTTACTCCCCTTTTATTTTGCACTGGTGGGGAATATTTCTTTTCATTTTTTATGTTTTTGTATCTTCTGTTGTTTTGTTTTTAATTACCAGTAACTATTAGGTTTACAGCTATTACTAGATGGACACCTATTTTCGTGTTGGATCTGGTGTCTGCTGTGGTAGCCAAAAAGATGTATGGTACTAGTGTCCTGGGATACATTTTAGGTATAAGTGAAGTGAAACTGAAATCCTTGGCTCTTCATCTCTTAGCACTGGCCTGGATACCTTTCAGATTGGCACACTGGATCCATGCTGACTATAAGGAGGGCATACCCATATGAAACATCTTCAAAGTAGCTTATTGTTAAGTAGGATTTAGGATGACTAGAGTCTACATTAGTAAGTTTTCAACTACAATATCATTTTGAGGAAAAAATCATGTATATGTCAGGTTTAAGATTTCTTGTTGGAGTTTTGATGTGTTGGCATTCTTATTTAATACCAATTAAACATCTGTATAGTTTCAATGTATGTTATTATTTTTTTAGACCTGACAGTCTTCTTAATTTTATATTTTTAGAGGTCACATCACTCAAGAGGAAAAGAAAACCCAGAACAAAGAGGCTGGTGTAGTCCAGTTTTGAGCTTTCCGACAGGAGAGTTACATTCTGTGTATGGAACAGGAAGACTGCCACTATTAAAAACAATCCTTCTGGGAAACTGTAGGTGATATCTTTTCTCTGGCCTGCCTCCTGCACCCCCCCTACTGGGGATGTGCCCACAACCAAGGTATATGCCCTTGACCGAAATCGAACCTGGGACCCTTCAGTCCGCAGGCCGATGCACTATCCACTGAGCCAAACCAGTTAGGGCAAAATCTTTTTTTTCCTTGAATTATTAATGTTAATTGCATGTAAATGGCTAATTGTTTTGTATCTACATTCTGGTAATGGATTTATTTTGTATATTGTATGGTTAAGCGCACTAAAGTTTTTGCCTTATTTGCTTTAGTTTTTAATATATGAAACTTATGTGGTCAGTAATTTATGTGATTGATATCTTAGGAAGCTCAGTTTCTACTTCTGTTATCAATTAAATATTTTTTGGTGCTTGTTTTAAAGCTCCCTTTGACCTAACATTTATGTATGTTTATATATGTATAGATATACGTATGTGTTTATATATCTGTTTATATATGTATAGATATATGTATGTCTCTCTCTATATATACACACACATATATATATACACACACATATTATAACATGATTAGTAAATACATTAAGTACATTTAAATACTATTTCTGATGAAACCTTTAAGAGTGGCAATGTAAATTTCAGAATTTGTCTGTGGTACATAGTAGTTGGTACTCAGAAAAAAATTCTATAGCTTCCTGAATGTGCCTCCCTGTTAATTTCTCATCTGAGACATAATTTAAATGGAGATTGCTTGAGCCATGTTAAGTTGCTGCCAGTGGCAGATCGCTTCCACATCATGGGTGCTCAGCCTGCCTTACAGTTGCTTGTATTCATGCATTATT